TGTGTGTGTGTGTGTGTGTGCTGCTCCAGTTATGCTGAACGCTCTCAGCTCTCAGTCTGAATTTAAAAACAGCCCGCAGGTTTCGGTTGACGCGACCTTTCCTCGCAGATTGCTCCGTCCGATACAAATGCTTTGGCCCGGCTCGCCTTGATGACCTCATCGGGTCTTGACAAAGCCCAACTCCAAACAAACCTCCTGAATAAACCAAAACAAACTGTGCCTCGCTATTTGCGGTCACTGCCAGGATGGTGGTAACAATAAACAGGCCCCGGGGCCTGCGCGGCAGCTGAGTGGGACAAAGAAACAGCGAAGAGACATGCACATGTTACAGTGTTTCCAGACACAAAATCCCACACAAGGAGCAAAGGACAAATCCTGAGGACACTTCAAAAAATGAAAATAATGTCCAGTGTTATTGCCTTTGGTTTACCATGGGATTAAATGTGAGTGTGTCTGAAATGATACCCTAAAACGTTTGAAAAAGTAATTCCATCTTATTGCAATGGACATTTTTTTGCAGTCCATGTCCCATACTGTATCCGCCCATGGACCGGATCACACACACAATCGTCAAACCTAATTATTCTGAACACACCCGCCCAATCATCACCGCCATCAGTGAAATAAACAAACACACTCAGGCACAATCAGAAATCAGTCATGCAATCATAACAACCCCCTCATCACCTCCCACACACTGCAATAAAGCACAGCGCACGCTCATAAACACACACGCACACACACACTTCATCCCCTAATCTCCAGTGCTGGTTTTGCTTCCTTGAACTCACCGATGATGTAGTAGTCATGCATGCTCTTGAACTCGTGGCCCCAGAGGTTGGGCGAGAACTCCTGGAACTTGATGGTGAAGCGGCGCTCGCGGGTGGGCTCGTCGCACGTGAGCACGATGTTGGGGGGCCCCATCACCTCGCAGCGGTCCGCCTGCTCCCGCGTCGACACGAGGTAGAGCTTGTAGAACTCGTACTCCGGCGTGGACCTGGCGGTGTCCAGCGGTGGGCAGATGAGGTCCAGCCGGTCCCCGATCTGAGGGTACAGAATGTAGCCCTTGTCGTCCCTGAACCTGGAGGGAGGGAGGAAAGAAAAGGAAGAAAGAAAATAGAAAGAAAGAAATGAAGGAATCAGGGGAGAAAGAAAGGAAAGAGAATCATTCATCAAAGTCTTGCGCTTCCTGCAACAAGCAATATAAACCAGTTCAGAGCCACCTGTCCTTGCTGCTGAATGAGCAACAGATGGGTCCTTTACCTCTCTTATTTCTACTACTTCATTATTATTTTCTCTCCTTCGTGGGGAACAGGTGCTTTACAGAGTAACTGCTGTGCAGTCAACTGCACAAATAAATTTTTACCTCACAAGCTCACGCAATCCCCTGTTGACCCCATGAAGTAGAAAGGGGGGAAAAAAAGGGAGGTGTGATCCACATGAGGAAAATAACCACCAATCTAAAGCCAAAATGAGAAGCATTAAATAAGGTTTTTCCTGTGAGCCGCCCCACAAAAAGTACCCTCTGTTCACACAGTTGTGAGTGATCTTGTACATTTCGAGACTTACATCTATTTTATATGAATGCAAAATGAAAACAAAAGCCTGGGGTAAATTTGAGGCGACACAGAATCCAAAACAAGAAAATAAAAACCCTGAAAACAAATGTGAAGTGATTAAGTCAAAGACTGTGGAATGTATGCAAAAATGTGAACGTATGCATGGAGAAATGAGAGGGAAATATTGTAAACAACAAGAAAGAAACTTTTTCTCTTTGCAATACAAATTTTCTCACCGAACATTCAGAAATGAGAACTGAGGCGTGTCTACAGAGGAAAACGCAGACGGGTATCGCTGCAGATCAGTGGAACGAAGTTGCCAATGCACATCTCAGGTATATACGCGGTTAATTACTTTGCTAATTAGCTGCCTTGATATCAGTGTGTCATCCTCTTCTGATATGAGGGATGTGCCATTCGCTCGTCTAGCCCGACTCATGATGCGACACCTGTCATCTGTGAGAAGTCTGCAGTCTGCAGCGGTTGTAATCCAAGACTTTTATTCCATTTAACAAACTCTGCTTGAGCATGTTTGATTTTTGCCATCATAAAATATTACAACCCCCGCTTTGAGCTTCGATGCTGCAAAGTCTCAATCTCGTTAAATTGCTTTCCTAGAAGTAAACCAGAGAAGGTTTTACTGGTGATATTTCACGTGAAAAGTGAAATGAATTCATTTGCACAGATCCAACCGGGTTGGACGAAGCCCCGCAGCCAGAAGCATTCATGGAAAGTGGTGTCGCAGCATGGCGGGGTGCTGGACTCACCGTGGTCTGCACAGCTTCCAGAGGTCTTTCCGGAGCAGGGAACATGAAGTATGGCCGTCAGAGCGGCATAAACTTGACAAATGACTCAGACACCCTGTCAGTCCCCTCACAGCACAGGGCCGTCTCTTGCTGATAAGGCCAACTGCTATGAGTTATCAACTTGCTTCCTGAAACTGATGATGACTTTAACTTTGACCTAGTGCTAGCATGCTTGGCTAACAGTGGGGAAGCAGCAGTCTATGCACACAGTTGAAATAAACTAGTGCAGGGCCCAGTGTGTGGAATGGGCTGATTTCTTGGCCTGTATTATTATTCCTTGTCATTAGTGACATATACTGCAATATACTATCACTTTTTATTGTTTGTGCGAGAGGTTGTGTGCATAACTTGTTATCTGTCTTTGGTGCAGAGTGTAGTTTCTAGTGTTACAAGTGTTCATCCTCCCTGGTTTATCTGAAGTTAAGCTTTTATGATGTGTATAAATGTTTTCCAGGAAATCGCGTGTGCAGCTTACCTATGAATTTGAATGATTACTGGACTGGTGTTAATTCTTCATAAATTGTTTGCCATGTCAGAGGTTCGCTGTTTATTCAAATTTTATCGATAGTAAACGTATCACGTGTCCCAGTCGCACCAGATTCCGCACTTCACTTCCTTTGGCCCTTGCCAATACACATGCCAAGCTGATAAGATGAATGGTTCGCAAGATAAACGTTCCATACACGGACAGACAGACATTTGTGGAATTAGTAGGTAGATGCCACAACTGATGGAAATAAATAAATAAAGTGTTTAAAGCAGCAAAAGATAAAACACTCTGATGTGAAAGTTAATGCCTGTAATGTGAAGAAGCCCATTTTCTGTTACATCTGACTCAAAACGCTGTTTCTGTGAACATCAAATGCACATGAACACCCGGGAGTCGCCACGCTCAAACCTGATTAATTATTCTCTGTGTTCTGCTGTCAGGCAACTGTTTGACCATAAAAAAATAAACGACACAGGATCACAAAGCACGAGCAGACTGGGAATTTTGTTGCTTAATTGTACCATTTAAAAAAAAAAAAAGGGACAAATACTACTCACACATCACTTTCATTTGTCCCTTAAATAATTCTGTCCACCTTTCAGCTACAAATAGACTTTCTTTAAGGCCTCCCCTGAAAGAAATCATTCCAATTAATCTTTCTTTTCTCTTTATCTTTCTACTAAAACATTAAAAAGCAAAAACAGGTAAAAAAGACTGTAAATTTCTTTTAGCGCATGTTTTTATTTGTTATAGGATTTTATGAAATTTATATTGTATTTCCATAAAGATGTGGACTTGCAAGAGATAGATATAAAAAATAAGTTACGATTGAAAGACACAGAGAGCCTGACGTTGAGGCCCTAGTGTGGGTATAGCTCCAAAAACACTATATTCTACATTACCTATAAATGCAACCTTGCAGTATTTTTGTTAGACCCTCACGGACAGTTAAAGGTAAATGTCCACAGCCATAAAACTTTACTCCCACAGTTTTCTAACACAGATGTTCCACTAACATATTGAGGCGTCCAAATCTAAGCTGAGATAACCTGATGATATCACAGTGACATCATCAAAGTTATCTCAGACCCCTCCACATGTGCAGCACGAACCACGGCAGACATAAACTGATCTGCATGAGTAAAATGGTTTGAATGCCACACAGTTGTTCCACAGTACAAACAGTGATACATGACTATAGAGTTAAAACAGCTGTGATGTACAAAACACGCATTATGTGTCTTATGCTGGTCAGCTGTCGCATTCCTTTACCCATAGGCCTCCTGTGGCCTCTACTGTGAAATAGGATTTGTGGTTATCAATAACTCCAGGATTAACTTAAAGACTTAATTCATGGCTCTGACAGGGTCGTTCATAATTAACGTCTCCAACTCTTCTACATGAACGTGCTCGTATGGCTGGGTGAGCAAAACCAGGATTAACTAAAACGGCTGATAAGCTTGGGGGTACAGGCCATAAGGTTGGTTGATGTTAGGTTAAGTCAAGTCGGATAATGAAAAGATATCCTCCTGGGTATGTTGAACTTGCTTCGTGGTACAGGTTTGAAACACCACTGAAGCAACACCAATTCGAGCCAGACAAGATAGTAGGCAGGCATGTGACATGTTATTTCCTGATGCTTTCAGGAAGAAAGAGAAGGACCCTTTACCACAGACCTTGGTCTAAAAAGCTATGAAATAAAAAGAAAGGGAACAAACTAAAAAGCATAATATGGGCATATACCTCTTAAACACCCAAATAAGCGGATATACGCAGGTAAACTGAAAAAAAGGTGATCAATTCAAGGTAAAAGAGACTTTAGTGCAGCAATACAAAGAGGTGGAGGGATTTTGCAAGTCTCTTGTTGTACCTGCATCTTCTGACCACATCCTTTGCCTCCATGCGGGCTACATCCACCTCCTCGCACTGCAGGCACTGACTGCCTCACACCTGCAGTAAACTGAGATGTAAGCTTTATCTTGTTGGCGTGTTTGGCTGGCGGCGCACACCGAGGGGAACCGGAGAACGCAGACTGAACGGTGGAAGAGCATCGGCTGAGGCAGGCCCAGAGGCCTGCTGGGAAGCCACTGTTCCACTTCTCATTACCTAGGTCACCCGGGGTTATCAGACCGTACTCAGACTGGAGAGGTAAGCACTCAGCCTCACTCAACACACACACATTTCACCTTCCTGTCTGCCTCACACAGGCGAGCACTCACACCATTTATAGAGTATGAACTGTAAACATGGTGGTGGTTCCTGCGGCAAAGCCTAAACAGAAAAATCTTTTCAAAACACACACACACACAGTCCCATACAGAATGGTCTCCTGCTAAACACAAAAGGTTTGCCCAAACACATCCACCCACATCCAAACAGACAGGTTTATCTTTTCCCTAAACATGAACACTGAAACCCCTACACACACACACACACACGCACACGCACACGCACACACACACACACACACTTACAAAAACAAGCACCTTTTGCTTCCTGCATGACGCATTCTGTGAGTGGTATCTGATGGTACCCTGAGTCACAGTCGAGCTGCATTGCAGAATGGCAGAGCAAACACGCACAGACAGAAGGGGAGCGAGAGAGAGAGGCGATGGTGAGTGTTTAGGTAAAGTGCCACTGGGCAGGTGCAGTGCTCGAAAAAGAATGACAGAAAGAAAGAGAAAAGAGGTGGGAGAAGAAGTGGGAGAGAGGGAGGAGGGGGGGTGTGTGTGTGGAAAAAAAAAACGGATTGAACATGTCAGGCGAGGTATGCAGCAACAACAAAAGAAAAGTGGTGAACAAGCAGAAAGGAAACACATAGGCAAAGAGAGGGCTCCACAGAAGGATTAAAATGTAACATGGAGGATGAGGAGGCGAAGAGAAAAAAAAAGACACGAGAAAAACAAATTAGAGAAAGGGAGAAAAGAAAGTGAGAGTGAATTGCAGCACATTCCTGCGACAGAACTCAATTTGCTGATAGGTCCCATGCTCAGGGTGTCAGATTTGTGGCGTTAACCCAGGTTAACCTACCGAGTGAATGATGGTGTGTGTGTGTGTGTGTGTGTGTGTGTGTGTGTGTGTGTGTGTGTGTGTGTGTGTTTGTGTGTGCACTGTAAATAGGATTGGGTAGAGAGACCCAATCTAATCACATAGCTGCAAGAAAAATAGTTTGTATTTATCCCGGAATGCACAGTTTCCCTCTCTGTGTCAGCAAACCTCAGTTAGACATACACTCTGTATCTGATGTATCAAATCCACCTTCAGAGTTTGCTCCGAAAGTGCAGGACGGTCTGTGAATCCAACTTCCGGCAGATGAGTGCAGGAGGGAGAGAGGGACGAGGGAAGTGAAGTGAACTCACAACTTTATATAGAGTTCATCTGTGACCACATCTAAATAAATCATCCCATTCAGACACAGCCCTGAGCAACATTACGTTTCTGCCTCTGCATTTCGCTCCAAGAAACATTCTCCGTGTCTGTTTTTTTTTTCCTCCTCTCCCTCACCCATGTAGCTGTCCACTCTCTCTCTCCTTCCCTTTTTCTCAGCCGCTAACAATAGAGTCATTCATGTGGCCACACTTTGAAACATGGTGTGGGGGGTTTGGAGGGGGCCAGAGGTGACACCAAGGAGGGAGAGGAGAAAAAGCAGGGGGAGGAGGAGAGGGAGATGAGGGGGTTACCCTCTCTTCTTTCTCTGCAGCT